CAGGAAAACAAGGATAAACCTCTGTGTTAGAAAGATCGGGAGAAGTGTGAACTTGGCGATAGGAGAACCTATCTACTCCTATTGAAAAATATCTTGACTCGAAAAAAATTCAAGGTCTGCACGGTGATGGTGAAAAGTTATAGCTTGTTTTTTGAATCAATGAAAGTTACAAGCCAGTTTTCCACTCATTGTGCTCGGCCAAAAGAGCAATCAGCTGTCAGGTTCTGGCCATTTCGATTTTTGGTGGTGAAACCATATACAGTGTAACCCGGATATAAGAGAGTTGTCGGGACCGGAGAAGAAGTCTCTTATACCCGGGTTTCTCTTATATCCGGGTTTGGTCTATTTTGTTTAGATAAGTATGGGCTCTAATTTGGGACCAGAGAAAATTTCCCTTATATCCGGGTTTCTCTTATATCCGGGTTACACTGTACTGTTTTTTCACCTGCATAGATATTGACTAATGACTTGAGAGTTGTTCTTAGGATGACATAATAATAGATATAAAGTACGAGGTAAGTAAAAAATTATCCACACTTTCGCCATATATTTTTAGGTTTGTCACACTGCCTTCTGCTCATGCGTGCTTAGAGTTTGTTACTGCTGTGGTCACATGAGACTTTGAGATTGATCAGCCAGTTATTTTTTTTTTTTTTGCTGCTGTGACAATGTAAACATAGCCGCTCCACTAGTAATATATATGTATGTATAAACATAGATAGATAGATAGATAGATAGATAGATAGATAGATAAACAGTAGAAAGAAACCTCAATTCCCCTCTTCATTGCGGTAAAATATATGTTTTAGATAGAGCTGATTAAGCACAGAGTTGGTAGTCTGTCTCGGAGAAATAATATATGCTATTCATTAACCGTGGTATCTGATATGTGTAAACCCACCTTATGGAGGAGGAAAGCCTTTTATAACTACGCATGAGCAGAATGCAGTGTTATGGCGAAAGTGTGGATAATTTTCACTTAGCTTCGTATAAATCAGAAAAAAGGCTAATAGCAAATAAAAAGCCTTGGGGAACTCTCTCCTCGATCCTAAATAAATAAGTCAATTACTGGCTGTTCATTTTTTAGTGTTCTCGTCTGCTAGGGTGCTTAGCTTATCCTGTTGCAACACGTTTGAGTGAACATGTGGTTTATACTGTAACTATGCTGAGAAAATTCTACAGCTTGTGGGCGAGAGCGGCCATAATCTTTGAACAAGACCATTTCATTGAAACTTTCGATCACTATGTCTCGTAACTTCGTGCTAGTATTGACGAGTTTCGAGCAGTTCTGTCTTTGCAACTTGGATCAATTCCTGGTATGATTTTCAGGCAACTACCGACGGTGGTGTATTTTGGGGATCGTCTCTGATATTATCAAGAAGTTCCCTCTTCGACAAAATGACCACTGTACCTTTCGATCTTAGCTCCCATAGCCGGAGCGCTAACGTTCAAATAACTCGGCTACGTTGTCTGTTATTGCGGGCTTATATGACATGAAATTTAGTCAATTGAGATCTATATAGTCTAATTAGAAATGAGTCGAATCGGAACAAATATGCAAATGAAGTGTTAAGAAAATCTTCTCCTCTGTAAGAATGGGGACGCCTACCGTCAAAATCTGCATATATCACGAATTAAAATTAAAGAAAGAAACGAATTTAGTAAAAGAAAGAGCAACCAGAAAAATAATCGATGGGGAGAAAGACACAAATCGACTGACAGATATCGATAAATATGCAAATGAATGAGATACGGATACATATGCATCCTACCTTTATGCATAATAGCTGGCCATTCGTCTTCGAGGATAGTCGTCTACTAGGGCGGCTAGCCGATCCATATTGCAGACGCTCGCTCAGGCACATGTGGTTTATATTGCAACTATACTGAGTAGACCTTAGTTACAGTTTCTGGGAGAGAGCGTGTTATCTTGCGTGATCAACAACTTTAACAAGGCCAGCATGCTTTAAGCCCTCAGCCACGATGACTTGTGGCTTTGTGCTAGCTATCGACGACCTACAAGATTTCCGTCTACCAAATTTCACTCACAAGGATTTGTTAACCCGTGGCATGGTTTTCAGGCACTTTCCAAAGGTGTCGCACCCTGGGAAGGTGCCGCACGCACCTTTATACATACATAAATACATACATGATTGCCCCTTCTTTGCAGAAGATCACCTCTTCACTTGGTAGCTTTTTTGGTAGTATTTTACATTCAGAGTGTTTTTATTTCCATCATTTATACCCGATATAACGTTCTGCTGTAAGCCCGTAAGTGATTCACTTCAACCTCTCTTACACAGTGACAAACAAAGTTTGTGTTACCTTTGATGGAAATTTGCTTGTCCCTTTGTACAATTACGTGACATTTGTGTCTTGCAACAGGCTTACAAATCTTGTCATAAAACCTGCACAAGTAACCTACAGGGCCTTTCTTGTAAGACTGCATTCGCAAAAGTTCGCACATGACCTCTCTAGCGTAGCCTCACGTGACTGACTAAACAAGCCGCCGAAAGTGTGACTATTCCATAAATACTGCAAGGATGTCTTTGTCCTAATAGCTCTGGGACAGATTCATTTTCTCCCTTCCTAAATGCGCATGGTGGAATATTTTTCAAACATGTTGGGTTGTATATATGGACACGTTTTGTGTAACAATATTTTTATAATTTTATAAAAAATTATTTGCTTGATATTATTACGGAAGTAAACAAAAAATAATGACATGAAAGAAAAATAAAGATGAACTTTGTTAAATTTACCGATAACATAAACAACAAACTCGGAAATTTGAAAAATTAAGAAATTTTAATAATTCGGAAATATTAAAAATTCGGAAATATTAAAAATTCGGAAATATTAAAAATTCGGTAAATTTTTAAAAAAAATATATAAAATTCTGAAATTTAATAGAAAATATCTGAAATTTATTAAAAAAAAAAATCTGAAATTTAAAAAAAAAGATAATAAAAATTGATAGACAGAACTTGTCAATATTATTTAGCCAAACATGTTTGAAAGAATTATTGGGCCGCATTTTAACCATTATCAAGGGCTTTTTTGTTTCTTTGTCTGTTTAAGATGAAGTGTTTGTACAAATAATTGTAATGTTCCAAAAACACTAGGACTAATAGACAATACGGACAATTTTTAAACTCCCTTACTCACACAAACGAATATATATATATATATATATTTATATATATATATATATATGCGTGTGTGTGAGTGTGTCTATAAATACGTTTAAATAAAATGGAAATATAATATAAAAAATATAATATAATAAGTAAAATAAAATATAATATAAAAAATATAAAAAATATAATATAAAAATAAAATAAAAATGAAAAATACGTTTAAATTCATCTACATCACTGCCGTGCGCCAATAGCCTAGAGGTAGATTCTTTCGATCCCGGCTTGAGACAATCAGATGTCTAGCTACACTGATGAGCTGCAAAACAATCTGTCTGTGAATGACAATATATATATATATATATATATATATATATATATATATATATATATATATATATATATATATATATATATATATATATATATATATGTTTGTGTGTGTGTGTAAATAAATACATGGTGTATTTAGTTTTCAAACTTAATAGATAAAAAATATCCATACTTTTCAATGAAATGCGCGCACGCACACGTACACAGACTCACGCGCGCACACACACACACACACACACACACACATATATATATATATATATATATATATATATGCACTTAAGTCCATTTTTAAAGATACGTCTCAGACCCTAAACCTTTTCATACTGCCCCCAATTTGCATTCGGTACTTCGTTCCCTTTGGGTAAGTTTTATAACCTTTTCTCGATAACGCCCTAAAAAGCCTTTCAGAGGCCATCTGCTGAGTTGGTAGGGACACTATGTAAGAGGTGAGTCCAAGGAACATACATCGAGCTGTGGGGAGAAGAGAGAGAGAGAGAGAGAGAGAGAGAGAGAGAGAGAGAGAGAGAGAATAGAAAAGGAAGGTGTGTCAAGGCGTCGTAAGGAAAATAAATATAACATATATTTTGGAGCATATCTTGTTTTCCACTCTCCTGCGTTCATAGGTTAAATTTACCCGGAAGACACACACACACACACACACACACACACACACACACACACACACACACACACACACACATATATATATATATATATATATATATACAGTAAAAAGTGAAAAAAATGCTCAACACAAAATCCTATACGAATCGAAGTAAGGTCGTCTAAGTGGGGAGGTTAAATATTGGCGAATTTTTTCGCTGCCATCGCAATAGGGATGGTGGTTGAAGCGATGTTAGTAAAGGTGGACGATGTAAGTAAGTGTGAAACAGTCGATCTGAAAACATTTGTTGATCGGATACATAGAAAGGCTGCAATGCATCGCATTGGTTCTCCGTCATCAACCCGGTACTCCTCTTCCTCTAACCCCTTTACACTCTGTCGTTTCTTTACTCTCCTCCTATTCATAATTCTTTCGCCTCCCTTAGTATTTCTTCTTCTTCTTCTTCTTCTTCTTCTTCTTCTTCTTCTTGTCTATTATTTTTATTTTCTCTTGTCTCTTCTTTTTTCCTTCTAGCCTCATCTTCTTGTTTTTTCGTCTTGTTTTTCGTCTTCTTCTTCTTCTTCTGTTTTCAACTTCTTCTTTTTTCGTCTTCTTCTTTTTCTTCTTCTTTTTTCGTCTTCTTCCCCTTGTTTTTACGTCTTCTTCTTTTTTTGTCTTCTTGTATTTCGCCTTCTTGTTTTTTCTTCTTGTTTTTTTTTTCTTCTTCTTCTTCATGTTTTTTCGTCTCCGTCTTCTTCTTGTTTTTCGTCTTATTTTTTTCTTCTTTTTTATTCCTTCATCTTCTTCTGCACCCTTCTCTTTCTTATCGTCTCTTCTTTTTTATAATTATTTTCTTTTTGTAACTTTGACTTCCTTTTTCTTTGCTATTTTTCACTTTGCTCTTATTTTTTCGGTTCCCTAAAATGATTCTTTATATTTTCTTCTTCGTCTTTTTATTTATTAATTGTTGTCTTATACCTGTTGTGAACTTTTCTTATTTTCCTTCTTATTTTCCCGCCTTTTTCGATTCGTTTTCCTTCTTTCATTTTCCGACATTTTTTTTGTCCTCTATCCTTCATTGTTTTTATTTCTTACCATTTATTTACATTTTTGTTATCACCCAGAATTTCCACTACTTTTTCGTCTTTTTCGACGTATGAGTTTTTCTTTTTCTTTTTTTGTCTTTTACTATAATCTGTTTTGGGACTTTACTTCTGATTATGCATTCATATGATTATTTATTGCATTTTTTTCTTACTTATTTTTGGATTTTGGCTTTCTATCTATTTGACACCATTTCTTATTTATAAACTATAGCTTTATTTTTGTCGTTTCTTTTTCTACTTTATTTTATCTTTCTTTCTGTCTTTCTTTTTATTTTCTTTCTTTTTCATTCATTACATTCTTATTCTTTCTTTTCTTCTTTCTTTTCTTACTTTTCGTTTATCTTACTTTTTTCTTTCTTTCTTTTATTCCATCTATTTTCTTTCTTCCGTCTTTTCTTTTCGTTCTTTCTTTCTTCCTTCCTTTTCTTTTCTTTATTTTCTTTCTTTCTTCTTTTCTTTTTTTCTTTGTTTGTTTCTTTCCTTTCTTTCATTCCTTCTTTCATTCTTTCGACCTTCATTTATTTTCTTTCTTTATTTCTTTCTGTTCTTTTCTTTCTTTTCATTATTCTTACTTTCTTTCATTTTTTCATTTTCATTTCTTTCTTTCTTTCTTTTTTACCTTCATTCGTCCTTTATTTTTTCTTTCTTTTCTTTCTTCTCTTTCTTCTTTTCATTTCACTGTTTCTTTCATCTTTCATTCTTTCTTTTCTTTTCTTTCTTTCGTTTCTTTCCTTCTTCCTTTTTTCTTTTCTTTTGTCTATTTAGCGTTCTTCCTCATTCATTCTATTCTTTACATGTCTCTTTTTTTACTCTATATTCTTCTTTTTCACTTCCTGTTTCGAAGTTTCTATCTCCCTCTTTATTTTCGCCCCCTTAATCTGTTCACTTAACTCTTACCCGATATTCTTTTACAATTCATGAAGTCGTTACTATCGTTAATATTTTTTCCCAAGAGATTTTCAGATAAACGGGAAAGGCCCAGAATTTATAAAGATGGTGTGAACGAATTAACGAGTGCACGAAACAAAAAATGAATCCAAAGAAACATGGCGAATTATTCTGAAGGAAATTCAGAAAAAAAAAAGAAATTAAAAAACCGAATGAAAACGAGACCAGAAAATCAAACAGGGAAAAGAAAGGGAAAAGAAAAGGAAATACACGAAGGAGAATTGAAGAAAGGAAAGAATGAAAGAAAAAGGGTTAGTAGAAAGGAGGGAGGGAGAGAGGAAATAAAGAAAAAGAGAGGGAGAAACGGAGAAAGGAAAATAGGTTTAAGTGATAGAAATGAAAAGCGAAGAATGAGAAAGAAAGAATAAAGAAAAGAAAGGAGAGGTCAAGCAATGAAAGCAGAGAAAAAGTGATGGAAAGAGTGAGCGTCTGTAAGAAAGAGAGTTTGAGATAGAAGAAAAGAAGAATAAATTGTTTAAAATAGAAAGAAAGAAAGAAAGAAAGAAAGAAAGAAAGAAAGAAATGGATGGAGGGAAAATGTGATAGAGAAGAGAAGAGGTAAGGAATAAAGGCATAAAGGAAGGAATAAATATTAAAATGAATGAAGGAAAATATGAAGGGAAGAGAGAATGACGAAAGGAATGAAGAAAGGAATAGATTATGCAATAAACAGGAGATGAGATTATGCAAGGAATGAAAGAAAGAAAGAAAGAAAGAAAGAAAGAAAGAATAAAGGTCTAGAGGAAAAGAGGAAGGAAGGAAGAAAGGAAGGAAGGAAAGAATGAAGAAGAAGGGAAGCAAGGAAGGAAAAGGAAGGAAACAAGGGAAAGAAGAGAAGCATGGAAAAATGAAGGGAAGAAGAAAGCGACGAAGAAAGAAAAATGAATGAAAGAAGGAAGCAACGAACGAAGGAAGAGAAGAAAAAAATATAAAACGATAAAACGATAAAAGATAAAACGAAGAAGAGATTATATAAGAATGAATGAAATAAATTAAGAATAAAGGAATAAGGTGGAAAAGAAAGAAAGGATGAAGTAAAAAAAGGAATAATATTATAAAATATAGAAAGAAAGAAAGAAAGAAATAGAGAGAGGGAAAATGTGATAGAGAAGAGAATAGGTAAGGAATAAAGGCGTAAAGAAAGGAATGAATGTTAAAATGAATGAAGGAAAATATGAAGTTAAGAAAGAATGACGAAAGGAATGAAGAAAGAAATAGATTAAGCAATAAACGGGAGATGAGATTATGCACGGAAAGAAAGAAAGAAGGTCTAGAGGATATATATATATATATATATATATATATATATATATATATATATATATATCTATATAGGCGCAGCAGATCATTTTTCAAACATATATTGTTAAACGTAACAAAAAACGAATATCTGTTATATTTTATCGTGAGCCTTTCTAACGTCCTATAATGACTTTAGTTCCAAGGGATATAAAGATAAAAAAAACTACGAATTTACACCTGCGTCTGCTATTCCGCGACCGTTATTGTCGCGTAGCAAGCTTCTATGTAGGCAAAACTGGACATCATCTTTGATGGTGAACATCTTTGATGGTGAACATCTCTGTTGCAACGTCCATATAACCATTCTAATGATGGCTCCTGTGAGCCGAAAATTTAGATCGTTGATGACCAATATAATACTGAAATATCTAAATGCTGGACAGTTTTTTTTTCTTTGTTTTCTCTTGAAGCTAAAGCATTATACGACGCTTGGAAAGGCTCATGATAAAACGTAATAAACATTAGTTGTCTTTTACACACACACACACACACACACACATATATATATATATATATATATATATATATTTTCGAACATCAACGAGATATTCGCCTCGGAAATTTAAACAATGCTTTAGTTGTACACACAACTAAAGCTGATCATAATTTCGATTTTGATTCTGTGAAGATTTTAAAATATTTTCATAATAAAAATCCTAGGCGGATTTATGAAGCAGGCATAATATTTATCTCACGCACGGTGAACACTAGACCTGGCTTCTTTAATATTTCCCCTTTTCTAGCAAGATTAATGCTCGACAAACGTACATATAAGTTTTAGATCAAAATAAAATTCTTTTCGTTTTTCATTCAAAATACTCAAATTTTAGGAATACATTTTCACAACATCGCCCACGTGACGACGATGTGATCATATTTAAACGGAACGCAGATCTTATAAAAGATTTCAGTTATCTGTTTGGATTGGTATTGCTTTTATGTCCATCGTCTTTTTCATGTTGAATTGTACATGGTCTAATGTTAATTATGTTTTATGAATATGTCCTGAAGATGGTCTATTAGACCGAAACGTCCGACGTTAACATTAAACATTAAAACAGCATAATCGCATATTAGGATTTTTGTTTGTTTTTTCAGTATATTTTTCTTCATATATGTATGAACAGTAAAATATTTGTTAAGTGGTCAATGTCAATAAACGAGCTATGTATGACTGATAATATGTATACCAAGCTAGCAGAGAAAATCCTTAGAAATTTTTGTTTCTACTCTCATCGAATAACTTTAGGAAATGTAAAATATCAGTAATGATCTCTCTAAATATTCCTGTTAATTAAAGAATGGTGCTAATATCTGTCCTCCTGATTACTCTTCTATTCTTCCACACTTTGTAACCCCTTGTGTCTCAGGGGCTTTATTGCCTTGCATAGGGTGCATTCGCTTTAAAAACAAGTATTTTTTAAAATATTTACCTATTTTTATTTCTTTACACTTTATTCCTTTTCTGTTTGTTTTTATTAGTTTAATTTTGTTTTTATTTAATTATTTTTTAATTCTTATTTATTTCATCATTGTAATTCTTATTATATTAGATGTTAGTGCGAGTCCATCAAATCTTGGTTCGAATCTTATCATCGTCGATTAATCAGGAAAGGGACTTCTTGATGTTATTGGTATGTAGATGCAATCCCAATGTGCACTCCCTTTGGAAAGAGCATGAAAACCATACCACGAGTTGAGCCAAACCTTGGAAGTAAAATTAGGGGAGACAGAACTATCTGGGAGCCGTTGATGGTTGTGCTAGCAACAAGTCTCAGGTCATCGTGACCGAGGGTTTGAACGTACTAGTCTTGTTCAGGTTGTTGATCACGTCAGATAATACACTCTCTCTGCTAAGCATAGTTGCAGTATAGACCACTGGGAGGCACTGTGGGTGGTGAACAAATACAAATATGCCTGAGCAGGTGTCTGCCATAGGAGTTGGCCAACCACCCTAGTAGACAAGCATACTCTAATACAAGCGGCCATTATTATTATTATTAGATTAGATTATTGTAAAATTTTGTGTCCGATTAGAAAATTAAAAACAAAATTTACGAACTCCCAAAAAAGCTTTTGTCAAGTCTATAATCTCCATTGTTTTTTTTTCGTTTTTTTTTAAACTGTCTACAACCGTTCTACTAATTGATGCCATTTTTGTAAAAACGTTTTTGTTTGAAGAAAGTTGTCACGTAGTTCTTGACTGACTATAGAGAATAAACGAAAATTCGAAGTAGCTATGTCAGGAGAATAGAGTGTGTCTTGAAGTGTTTCCTATTTCAACTTTTTAAGCTTTTGGAAGTCCTGCGTTGTCGTGGTGGAAAAATGGCATCTTTTCAATTTGCCAAAATCGGCAATTTTTTGAAGCCAATTTTCTTAAAATGGCGAAAGGCATTTGAGATATCGATTCTGAAACTCTTCCGTCGAAATCTTCGGTCCCCTCTCTACTATGACAAGCAGGACTTCTTCATCGACAACGAGAGGTCGTCCGGAGCGAAGTTGATCGTTTACGTTAAATTCGCGCTGACAAAATTTGTCAAACTATTTTTTGATCGTCCGAAAAGCTGGAACACGATGCAAATAAACCTTCTGATTTTTTTGTCGCAGTTCTGATGCTCACTCTTTTCCGAAATTCATAAATTCCTGCTCTTTTGAACTAGTGACTATCTTCATCGATACATTCAATCCTGATATCTTTACATCGTTGAGAATGTTCTTTGTCTTTAAGTGTTATGGGACCTTACCCATAATAACATAATGGGCTATTCCATACTTAATAAATACTGCGCCTCAAGAGGAAGCAGGGAGTTCAGCCTGAAGTCGGGCAACCGGCTGACCGGCTGATCGGTTGAACTCTCTGCCTTCGGACGGGGAGGAACCCGAACGAGGTTACGCCGAAGGGCGGTGTCTCTTTCGGGGAGGTAAACCGACCCTGAACCCGTTTTTATGGGTTCAAAGGGCATATTTTTGGCCGAGCCCACGGGCTCGGAGATCCCACGTTAAACCGGCCTTGTGCCACATGTTGCCCTCGTGTATGACTAAATACCGTTCCGTCTGAAGCAGGGAGTTCAGTCTGAAGTCTGGAGTGAAGTCCGTCAGGAGTCTGTCAGTCAGTCAGAGCGAATTAGTCAGTCGAGTCAGAGGCAGTTCGAAACAGAGTCGGGTTCAGACAATTACTACTAAACCTGATTGTTCGTACTAACACTTTCTACTTCTCTGTATATATTCCTGTTTGTAATATATCTGTGTTATTCCATATACGTGTTCGAGTTCTTCTTTATTGGTTCTACCTTGGACTATAACGGTGGCACTAGGAAACGGACCATAACATTAAGTAAGGATTCTTCGAGACGTTTCTTACAATTCTACTTTCCATTCTCTCAAAAATTAACCGTTTTCTGCGAGTCCTTAATTTATTCTCAACACAATGAGTGTCGTTGTACTTCTTGATAATGCTATGAATTATCGATCTAGGAACATTTAAATGATTGGAAAATGATGTATATCCATCACCTTCTTTGGACGCATCAATTATCTTCATTCAGAGATTCTTGTCAAGTTCAGCCGTCTCCGCTCTGGTTGCAAAAAAAATGAGTTATCGCGGTACGTGACACTCACATATTGTTTTTTTTTTTTAACTTTTAAATGTTATAGTTTCAGGTCAATACTATTTCATTTTCAAACGGTGTTTGCATTAAATGTCAAATTAAGAAAAAAAAAGCATTACAGTTGCCATAGAGGAATATTATTTCATAATTTCCATAACGGGGGGGGGGGGGGCGAATAATTTTGGACTGCCCCAATTTTTAAAAAAATCTATAACTATGAATATAATAGAAAATTAAATAAGAATTTCATGACTTGTTTCAAATTAAATATTTATGGTAAATTTAGTAAGTGCTTGGAAATATTTGCATTTTCTTAGAAAAAATGCAAATATTCAGTGGGGCGTATAATTCTGTCCCCAAATCTGTGTAATGCAAGACTCTTCGGTAAAGCCAATCAAGTTCTCTCAGTCACTGTGTATTTATCCAAAAATAAATACGCTTAAATTCACCTTCATCCCTGCCGTGCGATAACGAGGTAGAATCTCAGACTGATACCATTTCAGCAGGGTTTCGATCCTAGCTAGAGGAAACCGGACGTGTAGCCACACTAATCAGTTGTGATACAGCGAAACTGTCTCTCTGTGGATGAAAATATATATAAATACGCAAGAGCAAACAAACAGTAAAATATTTGTTATGTGGTCAATGTCAATATTACAAAGCTGTTTACTGTTTTTAAAAAAATATGAATTTTGACCAAAACACTACCGCGGTTTCGACTACTACGGTCTCCTCAGGTCGTTTGTTCAGCAAATCAATTAAATGAAGTTCAACAACTTAAGCACTTACATTCGAAACAGGAAGTAGTGGGGGAAGATGTCGCAAAAAAATAACCCCAATCTGAATTTAACATGTTTGAACTTGGTCATAATCTCTGACCTCCCATTCCATAATTCAGTGCTCTCGTCATACATTGCTATAATTTCTCTTCTTGGCATAGTTTACACGTATTCCCGATTATTATGTTAGTCTTTTCATTTTTTTTTTAATATACTCCATTTAATGTTTGGGCTTTTGTTGTACCTCTCCCTAAACCTCCAATAGTAGCTTGCTAGCTTCGCGTTGTACCTACTTTTTAAAAACATTATATATATATATATATATATATATATATATATTATGGATACCTCAGCGATTACGAAATTGGTTAGAATGTTTATAAGCCCTACTATTTTGGTAATAAGTAAAACCAAATAAATAAAAAAATAATTGGCGGAATTTAAACGCGTAATAGAGACTTTATCAGACAAAAAGTTTTTTTAAACATTATTATTCACGGAATATAATGCCAAAGAGCCACTCAAGTAAGAGACAGAGCAAGTGCGGAGTTTGGAAATGGGATTGTCTGTTCATCTATGACATTTTTATGCGCAAATTCGAATACCGTTTTATTTCATGCAGATATAAATCTGACAGAAATGGTGTGTCTTGAGTTATGCGCATGCGTGATACTCTTTTCTATTTAGTCAGATGTGATCTGAACTCTTTTTTTCCCGCCGTTTCTTGTACGCCGCAGCTTGTATCTGGTGAAGCGTGAATGCCACAGCTGAGCATTTCGAAAAGACATTCGAATATTTCACATCTCTTTGCCTTTTCAGTGACATTAACTCCTTGAACACGTACACTTCGTGCTTAACTTTATAAAGACCAAGTGAAGCTTCACTAACCCGTCTTCCTACATTCGCACGCAAACTTTAATATTGGTATCTTTTATAAATACTTGTAAATTTTGTTTGTGCTCCCACATAATATTCAACAATTTAAATGCAAAGTTAATCGTTACCTTCTCTGGTTTTAATTACTGCTTTCTCACATAAAAAATGTTTTCCTTTTCTCATATTCTTTCATACTCTTTAACATCTTGCGTCTTGGTGGCATTATTGCCTTGCTCGTGATGACATGATTAAAAGCATAAAATAAATAAAAAGTAAAAGCATAATTTTGTTGATGCATATATATATATAGAGAGAGAGAGAGATATGACTTTGTAGGATTCATATATGTTTGTAGGATGTATATATCTTTGTAGGATGTATATGTTGTATCATAGGATTTATATACCTCTGTAGGATGTATACGTCTTTGTAGGGTTCATATGTCTCATCGGAGGTATATGTCTTTGTAGGATGTATATGTCTTTGTAGGATATATATATATATATATATATATATATATATATATATATATATATATATATATGTGTGTGTGTGTGTGTGTGTTTAGGATGTATATGTTCTTTTAGGATGTATATACCTTATAGGATGTACATGTCTTATCGCACGATGTATATATCTTTGTAGGATGTATATGTCTTATCGAAGTATATATGTGTTTGTAGGATGCATATATCTTTGTAGGGTATATATGTCTTTGTAGGATGTATATGTCTTTTTTAGGATGTATATGCTTTATCGTATGATGTATATGTCTTTGTGGGATGTATATGTCTTTTTAGGGTGTTTATACCTTATCGTAGGATGTATATGTCTTTGTAGGATATATATGCCTTTTCGTAGGATGTATATGTCTTTGTAGGATATATATGTCTTATAGTAGAATGTATATCTCTTTGTAGGATGTATATGTCTTTGTATGATGTATATAACTTTGTAGGATATATAATAGTATCCAAAACAAAGGTGGAGGTGATGAGACAAAATGGGAAAGTTTTTAAACGATGTGTTTCGCTGAAGAAGACGAGACCAACAGACGCATCGAAACGCGACGTTTATAAGTTTTTCTACATAACGTGTAAGCAATGGAGAAATCTTAAGGGAAAAGCAAACAGGAAATACCCATATACTCACAATCAGAACGAGACAGCTGACATAATATGAGCATGGGTGGAAAGAAGAGTTGGAGATATCAAATGCGAAAGAGACAGGGAACATAGGCGACCATTTACTTGACCAACTTATGGGCATGGAAAATATAGTTCCCTGAAATACCATGAACTTCAACTGTGCATTACGTAACCGCAGCCGAAACACACAAGGCTTTGTCTCTGGTGCGGTCACCATAGCGAGTAGGTATTTAAAAAATTTTATTTTTTTACATTGGATGGAATAGCTTGAAGCATGACCAGCCGGTTTTCAATTCAGAATTTTCCTTCTCCTCGACTGGTTGCCAACCAAATTTCAACAGCTAATTCTACCCTACTGTGTAACTCATAGCTAGGGAGAGAAGAGATAGACTAATACTTATCCCAAGGCTATCGACCCGAAAATAAATGCAACGAAACACCAAAGTGTAATTCGATCTTGGTTCGCCTATTTCACGTTCAGAGCCGCTAACCATTTTGCACTAACTGCACTTCATAGACAGACAGAAGGAAAGAAGGAAACAGAAAATGTAAGATAAATAATTAAATATGAAGTATTGGTTGATTGATTCTTTACGGTTTATCAACCTTTTGCAGCTTAATTAAAATCAGAAAACATTTTACATTATAGAAATTATTTTTGTTTGTTTGTTATTAAGTTATAATGGTTTAGCGATACGAGTCATACGAATTAAACCATAGATCGGTAGATCCTTGCCTTTTCCACGTTTATTTGCACGTAAATAAATAATGAAACCAACGGGAATTGAACCTCGGATTTCCGATTAACAATTCTGTTCCATTATCATTACACCATCCGCACATCCAAGCTTACAGCACCTGCTTTTCCCAATCGGTCACCAATCTAGGTTCTGACCTGATTTGACGTTGCTTAACTTTAGTGAACGTTCGGAAACCGGAGTTTCAACATGATTTGGCCGTAAGCCTTAGGTATTAAGAGAGATAGCAAAATGAAAAAAAATCAGTTGCTAATAGCTACAAAGGGTAGGAAATTGTGGAGGGGCATGATCGGCCACGTCCTGATGGGACTCGGCGCAAAGAAGAAGAAGAAGAAGAAGAAGAAGAAGGGAAGAAGAAGTAGAAGGGGAGGTGTAAGAAGAAGAAGAAGAAGAAGAAGAAGAAGGGGGAAGAAGAAGAAGAAGAAGAAGAAGAAGAAGAAGGGGAGGAGTAGAAAGAAGAAGAAGAAGAAGAAGGGGGAGTAAGAAGAAGAAGAAGAAGAAGAAGAAGAAGAAGAAGAAGAAGAAACTAATCTAGGTACTGACCAGGTTTAACGTTGCTTAACTTCATACGGGTACTATTGTTTAAACTTGATATGGCCGTTATCCTAGATAATGGGATATGTCAAATAGGAAGAGTGCGTTATAGATATGAACAGAGTGATTAATAGATAGGAAGAAACTGATTTCAAAGTGTATGATAAATATAAAAAGCTTACTTCAGACAGGGTCAGATAGATATGAACACATTCTAGGAACCACGAGAAACGGATAGATAGAAACGATTTCAGATCAATAAATATTTGGAGACATATATTCATATTAGAATTACCTTTCCAACTCTCATGGCTTCACGCATGCGAACGCAGAACGTACACAACATTTACATAGATTTACACTTAAATTGCATTAATTCATGTATTCTGAGCTCGACATATTCGTTATCTCTTTGTCCGTTCTTCTGCAAGTATCGACCAACACCCGTGAGCAGACGCTGTTAAGGGAAGAGACATTATGTGCTTTGGTATTTATTAGCTCCTTCCTTTTTTTCTCTCCTTCTTCTTTATGTAGGCAAGTGACGTATCTTTACGTTTGCACCGATATAGTTTTTGATCCTGTTAAAACTGTAGCATTTGAGACGAACTTAGTTGACCTGACCTACGGAAGCCCGTAATCGCTAGAATTATCTGTTTAGGTTCTTTAATGGATCAGTGCGTCGAAATCAGAACTTATCAAGTCAAAACGGCGTACAAATGTAATGCTCTAGAACACATATACATGTTACTTGCAAACACATAAATATATATTGCTTGCGCGCGCGAGCGTGCGCACATACAGGCATATACACACACACACATAAAAACACACACATGCAAGCACTCACGCACACAAGCGCGCACTCACACTCACACACACACATGCGCGCACTCACACTCACACACACACATGCAAGCACTCACAGACTCACACACACAGAGACATATATATATATATATATATATATATGTATGTGATAAAAATATAGATTTAAGATATGTTTATACTTATGAGTAAAAGTGCTCACTATTAGGGAGAGAATGGGTGTAAATATCAAAGTTGACACTGAAGTCAAAATCGAGATACGATAATATATAAATGAAACGGGACTAAACACCTCAATTCAACTTAATTTTAATAATTATTTGGATGGTTTCGGCTCTCGTTTTGAAACATGAGAACTCTTATGTAGCGAAGGAATCATATTTTTAAACAAAAAAAAATGTTATAATATAAGCTCTACTTATGTATGGAGCACTGTTTTCTACTAAGGAACTCCGGATTATGCACCCAACGTGTCCTTTTTTCTATTTTCTGCATACCTGCGCACGTATACTTATATATATATATATATATATATATATATATATATATATATATATATATATATATAAAAAAGAAAGAACAGCAAGATATTTAGTGTTAGATATTTTTATTTTTTACAAAAGAGTGCTCAATGTAAATTTACAGAGCATTAATATTATAAATTAATCTAGAAAAATAGATTTATCTGTAACTTTGGAAACATGAATTTTGTTTTAGCTGTGTATTTAAATCCCAGTAATTTTAAAAAGTTACTCTAAAATTCGCTTGAGGATGAAATGGAACTTATCTCTTTAATTTAATCACAAAATTAAATTCGGGGCTTTTAGCTTCCATTTTTGAACATGGTTAGAAATGTGTAGCGAAAAAAACATATTTTAAATCAATTTATAATATATATATATATATATATATATATATATATATATATATATATATATATATATATAAAGTTAACAAAACCGTTTAAATATACTCCAAATTGATCCTGGCAATATAAAATATTAAAACTGATTGCACGTACATATAAATATATTGCTTCCTCAGGTGTTATAAATACAGACCTCAGCTTTATGAAACAGAGTTATAAGTATATATTAGTTAATATACATAATATCCAATGACGATTGCACGACTCGGAGTTTCATGCAGCTGCAAATTTTCGATCCTAGCTAGAGGCAAACGGACATCTAGCCATAGACCTGTGATACAACGAAACAGTCTGTCTGTAGATGACACTATATATATATATATATATATATATATATATATATATATATATATATATATATATATATATATATATATATATATATATATATATATATATATATATATATATATATATATATATATGTATATACAGGATATCCATAAATTAACTGCATAACTTTCACATCGTATTGTATCCATGCGAGTCTAGATGTATCAACACGCATCTTTGTATGTTAACGTGTCAAATATTTTTAAACTTTTAATTTGTATATAGTTCTTCTTTTAATTCACTTTCGTTTGCCATTTCAGATAGATATTAAAATTGTTTCTTATTGATCATCGAAAGCGCAGAGTTCAAATCAGATCCCACAGAATTACAGTAGAAAGTATGACAAAAGATCCCCACGTGGTGTGCTAGGATCCGTGCCAGATACAAAAGGTTTATGGAATGTGAGTGTAGTAAAGTGAAATCGAGACAGGTATTCAAAGGATCCATTCTGAATGTGTTCTGGTGAGTATAAATCATTCTTTATTTACGTACCTATCTCTTTTAATAACCCCACTAGGGTTCATTTTCATTGCTAAATGGTATACCACGTCAGTCTATATTACGGTTCTGTCTAGGTTACAGGTTCAATACCTGACGGAGGACACATAATTTCTATGAAATTTCTCGGACATCCAGGCCGTTGAATTAAATTAATACTCTTTATTATAAATGGTATTTTCTTAAATATATGTATCTAT